GAGAGAGAGAGAGAGAGAGAGAGAGAGAGAGAGAGAGAGAGAGAGAGGATGGTCAGAGAATCAATCATTAATTGCCATCAGCAAAGAGCGCCTTCCGCTCTGATGATAACAGTTGTAATAACACCGTCCACATCTCTCTGATTTCTCCTAAACGAAGATAATAAAAACGCTTTGATGCCTCCGCCGAAGCATTTGTTTACATTCACACTCATTTGTGTCACTTCCATCTTCAGTGGGAGTCAGCGCGCGGCCATGAAAGGATTCTATCGCAGGGTGACGGTTTTTTAAGTCCTAAAAGGTGTGCGCCGGTGTTACATCATATATTGTGACCAGAGGGGGCGCTGTTGCGTTTCTACAACAGAACTTGGCCAAAAATAGCCACAAAGAAGAATATGAAATGCCAACAGTGTAACCCAGAGGTCACAAAATATGACAACTGTTGTCATATATTGCGACTTCACTGTAGCTTGGTAAATAATAAAAATATTTATTCATAACCTGATTCTACTCATTGTTTACATCCTCTAATGTCAGAAAAATAACTTCTGATCACTGCCATGTTGACTATTACTATTATTACTACTACACATGATAATAGCTATCATATGTGACCCTGTACAAATTTAATAACAGTCACCATGTCAGTGATCAAAAGTTATTTTTCTGACACTAGAGGATGTAAACAATTAGTATAAATAGTTTTTGAATAAAAAAATTACTATTTCCTTAGCTACGGTGAAGTCACAATAAAAGACAGCTGTCATACTCTGTGACTATGTAAAATAACAACAGTCAACAGTTTTTGTTTTTTCTTTGTATGTCTTCTGCCTCTGGCTTACACTGTTGGTGTGTCATATTCATCTTTGTGGTCATGTTCGGCCAAGTTCTGTTGTAGAAACGCAACAGTGCCCCCTCTGGTCACAATATATGATGGTCACAAAATATGGTGTAACACCGGATTGAACCGGAGCGTCTCTTCTCCCCGTCTCTTCAGGCGGCGGGCTACAAGTTGGCGGTGCTGCCGGTGGCCGGAGCGCTGCTGGGCGGCGTGCTGGGAGGGCCGCTCGGCCTGCTGGCCGGGTTCAAGGCCGCGGGGGTGGCCGCCGCCCTAGGAGGGGGCGCCCTGGGCTTCGCGGGCGGCAACCTGGTCCGGAAACACCGCCGAGCTCATTTGGACCAACAGATGCAGCAGGTGATGGCCTCACCAGAGGACGAGCGCTGACAATAACCGGAGAGTTCACCGAGGCCTGGCTGCGGACTGACACCTACACTACTGAGCATCACTGTTACCAAACACTTTGTGACACAGTTATGTAATGACAGCCTTAATCAGTTAAGCATGTTTGGGTGAAAATGACTGTGGGGACAATTAAAACGGTTTTATACACAGCAGGGTGGTTACTAATCCATATCGTTTTAAAGTACCTGTGACATGCATACTCTTCAAATACAAAACGTCAAAGAAAACTTTGGATTTACCTAATTTCCCTCTGGGATCAATAAAGTATTTTTGAATTGAATTGAATTTAAGAAAGTTGGAATAAGACACACAATTTTACCCATTTTCTCCCTTAACTGGCATATTTTCTTTTGAACTTGGCTCAGCCAAAATGAAACAGGAAGTGACATCAAAGGGGAACTCTAACAAATAAAACTCTGGTCTTTGTTAATTGAAACATTATTTGAACTCTTAACTCTTCTTCATCTCTCTGATAGAGACTCAAAATAATCTTAAGAAACATTGTTCTCTACAGTCTGTGTTAGCTGTTGTAGCATCGCTCTGTTCACATTCAGACGTTCCCCTTTGACATCACTTCCTGTTACTTTACAGGCAAATATCTCAACAACTGTTAATCTCAGCAGCATGAAATTTATTTTGCAATATTTTATCAATGTCATCTTTTCAAAAAATGCATTATGTATTACAAAAATTTGACGTCACAGGCACTTTAAAATCAACTCATAAGACCAAAACGACATCAAATCATATAAAAGCACATTATTTGTGTTACTGTTTGTCATATTGTTCTTATTTGTTCGGTTTTCTTGTAATGATTCTGTCTATTCCTGTATGTAGAAGTGAATGTGAACGGATTATTGTAAATGAAGACTGGTTTGATTCATTTAAAAAGAAATTATATTTATGAAACTCCTCTTATATTTATGCAACCCAGCTGCCTGAAGTGCCAATGCCTGGTCTGCTTTAGACTGGAGTGTGTAAAGTTACCTCGTTTTGAGTACTGCTGCCAAATAAAATGTTCCTTCTCAATGACTTTCACACAGTCAGACATCTGTAAAATGTTTTTTTAATTATCTTTTTGTTTTTGCTCTTCTTTTACCTCTGAGATGACTGATTTAGAAATGACATCACCCTCCCCTCCCCTGCTGTTTTTCTGTATTATGGGCTGATATGTCACTATGCAGGTATTTGTTAGCCTCTACAGAAGGACAAGGACACACAATACAAAGAGTACCCATACCCATCGTCTAAACCTCCACTCCCGGGGTTCTCAGAAAAATCAAGACTTGTACCAAAACCTCAGACATATTTAAAGAGACAAAACCAGTTTTTTTTTAAAGAACTCGTAGAAAGTGGCAGACTTAATTTCCACCGTTCACCGCATGGGGTTTCCCCCCCCCATGTTGTCTTTTAAACACTTGGAAAGCTGCATTTTTTTCTACCCCGGCATGATGACGCACAGGCAACAACAAAAAAAGAAACAGTTACAAAAAAATTCAACAGAATGTCTAAGAACATCATGGAGAAACATTTTGCGTTCTTCCTTTTGATTCTTAGTAACAGAACTTAAAAGGGTTTTTGGCAATTCAGTGCAACTCAGACACCGAGAGATTACACTCTTTTTTTTAAATTTCAGGTTTATATCAAATAAATGGGGTCAAAATAAAGAATGCAAGTTATCATTCTGATATATAAGATCAGGTTTATCCCAGATGACGTTTTAACGAGGCCATCCGTTAGTCGCAGTGTTCAGTCGGGGTGTTTTTGACCCGCTCTACAGAATTTAGAAAATGTAAAACCCTTTCCAACATGCATTTGTACATATTTTCTGTTCATTGGTGACAAAAAAAAAAAAGACTAATTACACCCATATGTTTTACAGTATTGTTAAAAAAAAAGAAATATAGAAAAGATCCTAGAGTTATTTTGATGATCACAAAGGGGGCGCTGTAATCCAAAGCTGGGAACCGGACTGGACCGCAGGGAGAGAAGGGTTGCATCTCAAAAGGCCGGAGCAGCTTATTTTTGTCTCAAGCCTCAGTTAGAAATGTTTTTTTTTCTATTCCTTCAATGTGATGAGAAAGTATGAAGCAGGTCTGTTAGAACTATAAAAATGAATCCAACTAGTTTAAACGTAGCTATGAGGTCAACGGGACTAAACAAGCATCAGACGGGTCGAACTGGAACTACCGACAAATAAACTGTACGGCTGGAGTGAGGACACGGTTTTGTTTCTATCTTTTGGACTAAAATAATAATAATAAAAAATAAAAGGGGGGGATAAAATAAAGAAGAACTCTGCATTTAATTTAGACCAACATTGTGATTCCAACGTAGCACAAACATATTTACAACTTCCAAGAAAATAAAAGTAAACTATTGATGTCCCCGCCCCCACACGTCTTCTTTATCCCTCCCGCTTCTTTTAATCCAAAATAAAAACTGTACGTGAAAGAGTTATGAAAATATAGGTTGATCCGACGTGGACTGCACACTCCTTTGCTTCGTGTTCTCTCTTTTTGTTGTCGTTTTGTTTTGTTTTAATCCTCTCCGTTTGTTTCTCGTGTCTAACTCGATTTCTCCAGGAAGGGTGTCGGGTGTTAACTGTTCTGTCCCGCTGGCCTGTCCCAACCCTAACCCCCCTCCCTGACCCCGGGGCGTGGCATTGAGGCGCAGGATCGCTGCAAGGCCTTTTTTAGAGGGGGGTCACAGCTCGTCGCGGTCCCTTCTGAGGATGGTGTAGCGGGTCTCGCTCGGCGCCAGCTTCTGGAAGGAGCTGTCTGGGGGGCTGCTCGCCACTTCTCCTTCCCCCTCGTCCTGCGGACCAGAGTTTAGTCAACACTAACTGTGAAAAGTGAACTTTCAGTGGAGGTCTGCAGACCGAGCTGAAGCTGCTGACTGACCTGTCCGGGCGTGCTGTCTGTGGGGTCAGGACCGTGGTGGAACTCTCTGTGAAGCTTACCGGAGTGAAGATCCAAAACAAACTGTCTTAACTTACCAGGAATGCTGGAACAGATAAAGAAACAACTGGGTTTAAACAAAATTTAAATTGGCTGAAACCAAATGGAGATAAAAACTGAAGCAACTTCATCGTTATTTTAAAAGGGTCAATAATATGTGTTTCTCAGGCATATTTTTAAATTCTATACCATAATAAAGTAACTATGTCACCTTCAGTTG